TATATTTTACACTTCATGACAAAATGTTATTTTAGAAAAACTTAAGTTTTTGCCCGGCCAGTGTGCTCAGTGGTTGAGCATTGGCCCATGAACCAGGAGGTCACAGTTCCATTCTCGGTCAGGGCACATGCATGGATTGCGGCCCACTCCTGACAGGGGGCATGCAGGAGGCAGGCAATCAATGCTCTTCCATTGACATTTCTATCTCTCTATCCCTTTCCCTTCCTCTCTAAATATCAATTAAAGAAAGACGTAATTCAAAAATTTTTAAATATATAAATCAAGTTAGAAAAGCAGAATTTAACACTCCCTCTCCCCCGCCCCCGGCATTCTTCACACCAGTGCTTACAACTGGTGATCTTCTTTAAGATCATTCTATGAGGTTGCTCTCTGGTCCCAACCTCTAAGCTCAGCTCTCAGATTTCTCAGACATTTCTCTGTTGCCAGTTGGAAGTTAAGATGACATATATTAATGTCCATGTAAATAATTTATTTGGTAGACTAGATATGTTCTAATATGCTTGATATGTCTCACATGAAAAAAGAAATGCTTACACATCGCTGGAATCTGTCTGAATGCAAAGTAAGCCTTTGCACCCACCCCCACAATTAAAACAAAAAATAAATGTTCAGGAAATACAGGTTGTGCTGTTTTTGAAACTGAAGTATTACATACAACACTATTTACTTTTACACAATTTAGGTGACCTAGCAAAAAAACAAATCTCTGAAAACTTTTAAAATGTCTTGCTTGATTTCTGTATAGATTATTAAAGGCTTGAATAATTTACAGAAGCAAAAATGTTCGCTTTCTTTCCAAAGAAATACTCCTCCACATACATCTGCCAAATTTTATAACTATTGTTAGAGGTTAGTAGCCCCTGATGCCTAATCACTGGGCATTAGGGATGTATGCTTCACAGTTCAAGAATCCTTCATCTGTTTACTAATATATATTACATAAAGTCATCATCTTTGAAATTTTGTACATTTTTAAGGTAAGTTAAAGTATATAGCCTTTAATTTAGACATTAAGAGAGTGTGGATTGTTCCCCCATTACATGTAAAAGTCATGAGTTAATATTGAGACATAAATAATTTGTCTAAAATAAAATGGTAAAATATGGGTTAAGCACTCATGTTAAATTTTTTACTATGGGAGAAGGGAAAGACCACTCGTGCTTTTCTGTCAGAGGATTATTTTCAAAGGCCAGCATTTTAAAACATTTGCCAACTAATGGACTAAAGCATACCAAAAAATATATATGTGTATATTTTTAATGTGGGATATCTATAATAATAAAAGCACAATATGCTAATTAGACCAGACAAAGCCAGGGATGTGAGGGAAGCCCAGGTCCGGGTGCCAGAGGGAAGCTGGTGCTGGCCTACTCTTGCATGAATTTTGTGCATCGGGCCTCTAGTATATATATATGTGTATACATATAAACAATATATATATATACATATATATGTATATATATGAACAAGTATATTTCTTTTCACACTTGCATTTTGTACTTTTACATTTTTGACTTGTTTTCCCAAATGTATTATTATGAAAAATAATAGGATGCAAGTAACCACCTTGTCTTTGCAGTTAATCGTGCTAGACACATTAAGTTTTTTTATCCTTACTACCCTAAGATGATGGTGTTATTGCCGTTACTTTCCTAATGAGAAAAGGGAGACAGAGAAATCAGGTAACTTGTAGCTAGTAAGTGAGAGTGTTGGAATTTAATTATAGATTTACTTAACTTGAATTACATTGCTCTGTATAGAGAGAACCCTATTCATGAAATCAGCACCTTTACATTGTTTTCAACTAGTTCTGGGAGTTTGTGGTTTCACGCATAGGGAGATTAACAGGTGTAAACAAAGGTACATGTTCCGTGGCTGTATCTCTAAGTTTATGATTTAAAATCCAGGAAAAGCAGGTCAATATTCTTCCTCTGCTTGTCTCAGGATTGGTTTTCTTTTCAAATGCAGTTTTCTGTGTCATTTTGTCCCCAAATGATGCCGCATATACTTTAAAAAAAATCAATAAATCCACAGTTGTATTAAGAAATATTTTATTAACAAAACAGTAAATTCCACTTGCTTAGCATTTCCAATAATGGATAAATTGGCCTTGCAACAAAAAAACAAAACAAACAAAACCCTTAGATACCCAGTCACACAGAGCACTAGAAGGGGTGGGTCATGTGGCCTTTGACCACATCACACATTATTGTAATATTTGTTGTTTTTTTAAAAAAGGCAACACATTACATGGATAAAAAAGAAGCAGATTCAATCAGAAAAGTTAGCCTAGAGATGTAATCAAATTTATGCCAGGTAGTGTGAAATCCTCTATTATTTGCAAACAGTGTATGGAACCCTGATACTTTTGGTGTGAAGATTTTACTCATGTCTTTTTCTCTCCCTAGCTCATGTTCCTCTCTTTCTCCACTTTAAAATAAAGAAGGAAAAAAATGCTAGATTTTGTGTAGGCCAATAGCATTAGTAATATTTTTACTGACAATATAAGATTACATCACTGCATGAAATTTTAAAATTTATGTTGGAAAGAAACATTGGAGTCATTCCACAACAACACTACTTCATAGATATACTGCTTAAAAATACCATTATTGATTTTCTATCATAGTTCAATCTTTCCAGGTGGAAACTAGGTCAAGTTCCATAGATCAAATGGAAAAGCAACCATTTCTTTTTATAACCTCAAATGTAAATTAGCGGTTTTATATTTACCCTCTTATTTCACTGGCTTTCCCTGAGTAAGACTGAATGAGAGGGGGGAAAAACACAAAACATGAACATTTTTAACCTAGCAAATGAAAAAAAAATCTGAAACACAAGTAATGGATATTAAATTTTAGTTTTATACCTCTACTTTCTGGGTCATGAAAAGCCTTTATAACTTTTCATTTACAATTACTTGGCAACCATAGATATTGGTGATTTGCTATGTTTCTAAGGTGCTGTATGTCTGAAATCCAGGCCACTTCTTGGCTTTTTATATTCATCAACTAATGTATTATAAAAGATGTTTTGCATTTTTGCCTTTGCTGATTAAAGCTAATTGTAACGATTTTCTTCTCTTCATTGAAATCTAATATCATTTCTGGAGATGTTAAAGTAATGCAATCAATTTATACTGAGGCATCACCTTCCAATCTAATAATGCACTTCTTTTGCATTACCTTCTCATATTGGTAATTTATTGCTCTGAACATCATTGAAACAATATGCAAAAACAAGTGTATAACCTATACTTTTCCTACCATTTAATGTGTTAAATTAAAACTATTTAATGATATAAATGTAAAACCACAAAAGTTAAAATATGGTCAATAATCAACAAATAGGGAATCAAAAATTCCTGAAAATACTTTTAGTTGAGAAAGTGTTTACTTTCCAAAATCTTTATCATGCACATTAGGTTCAGAGAAAAAAATATAAAGTTTTCAATTGCAGCAATCAGATTAAGGTGTATATCAACCAATTTTGCTTCCATATCATTGGTTTTCATTTTGATAAGAAAAGGTTCCATTTCACTAGGGAAATATCTTCTTGGGGTTTCTTGGGACCATGATCTCAATGAAGCAAATCACCCCACTTGTCATCAATACCTTGGCACAACTATCTTCCTTCCTGCACAACTATCTTCCTTCCTGCTTTTCATTTTGTCAGTAAATATTTGTTAGTATCTGTATGTTTGGGTCTTTAATTAGTGTGTGTGTGTGTGTGTGTGTGTGTGTGTGTGTGTGTGTGTACATCTTTGATTGTGAATAGTGAATGTATGTGGAAATGTATTTTGGGAAGAAAAAAGATTAGAAGATACATATGTATAGCTTTTACCTTCTAATTCACACCTTTCATACAAATACTAAAACTTAACTGCAACAGAATGAAGGCTGTACATGTAAGAAAAAATGTAGCTGAATCTTTTTATATACATTCATACATATCTTTCTTAGAATAAACACTACATTGTAACTTTATTTTAAAAAGTAAGTAATTGTGGCAATTTATAATGATGGCCAAAAAAATCAAAAACAACCCTGAAATAATTGTTGCTCCAATGTCATAAAACTCCCTATAATTAGCAACACTTATAACATTTAATTTACCAAAAATGGCTGAAGAGCAGAGATATATTTTGCATTTTCTATACAACAGGCTATAAAACGTCACTTAACCACAGTCCAGAAAGCACACAGAGATGGATTTTATATAAACATATGTAGTAACATATTAAGCGTGCATGAAAATTTCCCAATGATTGCATCTATGCCCTCTTGTTTTTGTTCTGAAATTTTAGTGTGATAATGTGCCTTATATTTCACAATGTTGAAAATAAGGCCTCCATACTTTTTTTTTTCCCTCTCACAATCATAAAGGGGCTTTTTGAATGTGTTCCTACACAAGTCTTCAAAAAAGCCAGCACTTTGCTTCAAATGTAAATTCCAACCACGGCTCCATTTGCGCCAGGCAGCAAATTCTTAAGGATTTGCAGGTCGAGTCACTCAAAATGCCACAGTCTTCTCTGGCAACAGGACTATCTGACTTCTCGGGAAAGCGCTAGCACTTTGGCTAAATCCAGGATCATAGGTAGCTTCTTTTGTGTGTGTTGTGTTTTGTGTTGTGCCTCGATGTTGTAATACTCCTTTGCTTTATGAATGCGTGCGGTCATCACTGTCTTTTAGAAATGTTCCAGCAACATAAAGACAGGCAGAGTAAATGAAAACACTGTGGATGTTAGGGAATTTATTGGCCCCTGTTTTTTAATTTTTTATTTATTTTTCTGTTTTTGGAGAAACAAGAGCATGAGATACTTGATTTTTTTTATTTTTTAAAAACAGTCTTTCCTTCCTGATTGCATTCCCTGTCTTCTTTTGTATGTGCTTCATAAAAAGGAAAGTAAATAAGTTTATATTATGTCTCAGATAAAATGAAGACTATTTCTATACAAGGGTCCTTTTAAGATCTTGGAATCAGACGTAATACTCTTTATCCTTGTTCTTCTTATTTTTGTTGGCGCTCTTCGCACTGCTGGGTTGTTTCTCCTTTACGACAGCCCCATTGGACTGTGCTGAGTTACTGATGTAGTTTCGACTCTCGTCCACGTGGTATGAGCCTTCATCCCGGTTTCTGTACTTGTACATGGCATAGAGGAGGATGAGGATGCACAGGGCGGCAGCGGCTACTATGCCTACCACCATGCCCGTGGTGCTGCTGGACTCCCGGATCACTTCTGCGGAGCCTGGGTATGGCTCTCTGCCCCCTGCCCGGGTTGGGTTGGCTATAGGAAAGAGGGGAGAGAAAAAAACACACAGAGTGATTATCGAGTTCCTTGAATGCTAACAGTTACCTTCTATGTCCATGACTAATGGAATAGTACCTACTGCTTTAGAAAAAGTAGGCTGCTGTGAAGTGTGGAATCCCTGTGCCTCAGGGTCACTAAAAAACTGGTGACAATGAATCAAAGCACTTGGTGAGAGATTTGTTGCCATCTTTTCTTTCTCACAGATCAATTTTGTTAACAAGGTCTTGTAAGTGCAGCCCCAAAGGGCCATGTTGATGTGTTAGGTGAAAAACCATAAACCCAGCATGGAAAATAAAATGACCCTACCTTGAAATATTAGAGGGTATTAATTTCAGAATCCAAAAGATGTTAATATAGAACCCTTAGAGCTAACTCTAGACTCTGAATCAGGATAGCTAAATTTAGGACTCTTTATGCAATCATATTGCCTCCTACAGTATTCAATATAGTATTGAACAATAAAATAACTCAGACATTTTGAATAATCTAAATATCTGCTTGTAAAAGTATGATTTTAGTCACAACTTTACAAACTAAAACAAAATTAATTCCTTTTTCTGTTGGAGGTTTATTTGTATGGATGGATGGGAATTTATTCATTGGTCGCAGTTGAGTGATCACCAAAACCAAATTTGGGAGGTTAAAATAAATAATTTTTTTCCCTCAGTTTTATAGACCATCCATATTGGTTTTGAGTCAAAACTTGGTACCTAATAGATGACAATAAATAAAGGATTGGCTAGCTCTGTTTTATTCAACTGGTAAAACCCTTTTTAATCTTCCCAAAGTATAAAGAGTGACAAAGCTCTTCCTTTGGTCAGGAAATGGGTTTTGGGTGCCGCACTGTCTTCCCAAGGCCTCATCAGGCACTGAAGTTGACTATAGATGGGGAGAAAACATCCTGTGATTTGGCTTACAGATCAGGGAGGCGAAGGTGACTCTTTTCTTGTACATAATACACTTAAAAATTTGTTGAAAGAATTTAAAAGAGTAGGAATTATAGAGAGAGATGATTTCATCCTACTTCTCTCTGACGCTAGTCATTTTTCTGTATGAATTTTCTTTTTCTGAATTTTCACCCTCTCCCTTGTCTTAAAAAATCATTACTTTACAGATGTAATGGGTTAATTTTTTAAAACTTTGTAAGTTATGCAGAATGAATTTAAATCGTCACCAGATTGCATATATAGCAAATATGTATGCATGTGGATGTAGACACAAAGCAGAAATGGAATAATTGAAGACTGAGATTGGACTTTTATATCACTACTATTCAACATTACGTAGTAATTATTTTTTTTAATATTTCTACAAAAGTTCCTATTCCTGGGATTGATTCACCAACTGTAACTCTAGACTGCTTTATAATTTCGTTTTCAGACGTCACCAAGATTTCTTCTGTCTGCATGTGAATTTCTTGCAGTCATTTTTCTTTCCTTCTCTGAACAAAGCCTTGCAAATATAGTCACTTACAAAGTCATAGCTTTCAGTCTCAAAGCAGCGATAGGCTGTGTTCTGAGAGACAAAATGTAGCAGGCGAAACATTTCTTTGTTGAGTATGTCACTGCTTGTTTTACAAAGGACCAGGTAATGTCGCTGAGCAAGCCTTGGCATGGCTTCTGTGGCCAAGGCGGAGGAGACCAAGACTGTAATCCACAGCATTTGATTACAGGAAATTAATTTCCTCCCCAGAAGAATAGGACCTACCGCAGGAGCTCTGTCACCACCTGACCAACCAAAGGCCACACTTTCTCTTTCAAATACAGTCGGCTTGGCCAAACTCTGCCAATTAGCTCAGCCGCTAATGTTCACTAAATGACAACTTCCCGCTCATTTGGAGGAGTTTTCTTTTGCCAGGGTGTCATAAGATCTGAAATGGGATCTTTACTTAAATATTACCTAAGCCCCTTCTCCCCACCAGGTGAGATGCTTTCATTTTCAACACATTTTCATAATTATCTCATTCTGTTTGTCAGAAAGGAATGGGGAGAGCAGAGATAAAATCCTATTCATATAGCTCACAACAGCAAGGATTGAGAGTTTTAATGGAATGCTAGGTTTAAATGTTCTTTCCTAAGGGGGAATATATATAATATAAAATTTCCCACCAAAATCTGTATTATTGGTGAACTATCTTATCCAAGAATTTTAATCTTAATTTATCTGTTTAAATACTTTTAATATATTTTCACAATGAAAGCATAAGCAGCATACCATCCGTTTGATGTTAAAACTAGAATATGATTGCAAAGACCTAGGAAAAGCCTCAAATGCTTCAATTTTGCCATATAGCTATTTGAAAAGGACCTCATATTTAAGGGAAATACTTGTGTTTTCAGCGATTCCAGACAAAATGTTATTAAGTCACATATAGGCCTAAAAATAGCTCTGTAACCCATGTGAACATAAAGATTCTAAATGTCGTGTTTTTAAAATAATCTATTAAAAAAACACACACACACCAAACCAAATGAAGGAATTTTATCCCTTTTCTTCTGGTCAACATTAAAAAATTAATACCACAGGTATTTTATAGGCCTACTTGGAATATGCAGTTGCTTTTTATCTAATTGATTATTCAATAACCTTTTTTTCTGCTTCAAATTTGAAGGCTAAGTGACCTTTATTCTAAGTTTAGAAGTTTTAATAGTAAATAAAGGCCCAGCTAGCCCACTAAAGTGTTAATGGGATATCTCTCCTAGATGTGCAATAAAAGGCTAGAGAAATTCACATATATTCTTGAATTATAAATGTGGCTTCATGTATTGATTGTCATTAGTGGTTTATTTTGATGATCACTGAAAAGTATATGGGGAAATTTCATTAATTTAAATGTAGAGAATAGTATAAATGGCTCAAAAAGTTAAATGCCTTCTTACATAATTTGGTTAAAATTTTACATAACAAAATGCAGTCATCTTTTAACCATTATGACAATGCAAACAATAATTTAATCAGAGAAATCCATAAAAAAATTCTTAAATTTCATGGGCTTGTGAATTTTGCATTCCCTTTAAACTCAATAAACTAAAGCAAGATATTTTAGATAATTAAAGCAATCTACATCTTTTCCCTAGTAGTGTTAACAAATAAAGGAACTACAATTTATTTTTACTCCATCACCCTTTCTTTGTCCCAACATGTGATGAGAACAATGAAAAACGGGTAAAAAGATGGAGGGAAGCTAAAAGAATGGCATACATGCAAATTGGTAATAAGCCTTGAATGGTCAAAAGTTGACTGATTTGTAAGTAACACTAAGCTAATGTAGCCAATTCATTATATCAGGCACAGAGGCAAAAGGAGCCCAGGTCAATGGAAAACTTCAATAGGACTGATGATGGGCAGGCACATAGGTACTACTTAGTGTGACTGGAAATAGGCAAGTATTCAACTGCAGCAGTGGTGGCACACGTATTTTGGTTAAAAGTCCAGGGCACTAGCAATAAAAAAAAGAGTAGAAATATTCTAAGCATTTAGTTCCATTTATATTTTCTAATTTTTAATAGTTCTATTCATATAGTGAAATCATGACTTACACACAATTTATGTGAACACTGTAACAATAGGTGCTTTTATTACTAAAGGTTTCCCAAATAATTCTGCCTTATCCCTGCTTTATAGAAGAATGTCCACCACCACATACCCCTCAATCCACTGGGGTGCTGTATACACTGCTAGGTCTATTACATGTGGGAAAAGCACATATGCATTCCTTAATGGCAATATGAAGACTTGAGTTTTGCTGGCATTTTTGTTTAAATGAGTCAGAAGGCATTCATTGCACCGGCAAGGGCAAAGAGCTGTCACAGGAATTTAACCTCTTTCACGTAAGACACTTTTCAGCCAAAAGGCTATGGAGATATTCCTGGGAACAGACAGCATTATCTTAAAGGGCAAATGAAAATGATTTTTAATTCTGTCTCTCTCAAATATTTGGCAAGATCCTGATGGTTTCTAGAAGTTTTTCACATGGTCTGCTTTGGCCCAGGTTTATTAAGAATCCTCTACGCTAGCTCTCTGAATTTTTTTTTTCATTGTCTAATTAATATTGTGATTCCTTAGGTAGGCATAGCCTTTCCAGTGTTAGGATAGTTATTAACTTATCTCCACATTAAACCCTAAAACCAGTTTATTCGTATCAGATAATAATTCATGGTGCAAAAGATATATCCCAGTGCCTTGGTGTATTTGTTGCTTTGCATAAAAATGTTAAAATATTAAAAATTTTAAATAATCCTTAAAATTGCTGAGATAATTATTTTAAACTACCATGACAGGAAAAGAAATTGTCCTAATTGATGTTCTTTCTTTCTTTTTGACAGTCTCTGGCACTGTATCTGTGAAAGAACACTTCCCCAAGTAGGAACTAATTTAGGTCCAGTTAACAAACACCACGAGACAAACATGTTTGAGAGACACAGTAGGCTGTAGTGCAGAGAATTATTTGTGACAGGTCTCGTTTCTTCCCAGATCTTCTGTCATCACACCTATGCTGCTCTCTATTCTTCCTCCTACTTAGTCCCCCTCTCTACCTCTTCTGTGTGACTCCCAGCTCATGACTTAGTTTTGAAGGTGGCTTTTAGAGTGTATAGTGGGTGTGTCCCTGCTCAGGTAAATGAAAGTCAGGCCAGTAGGGGTCAGCACTTTTTGCCTCTGGGGTAAGTGCATTCCTCAGCAAGGTGTTAAATGAGTGACAAAACTTAGTGCCAAATTCCTAATTTCAAAGCATAATATAAAATAGTCCTTACTGTCCAAAACATCTCAATGTGATTGATTGTTCACCAGACATGGGCTTTGTGTTTTATACTGCCATGCTTTCCTTTAAAATTTAACTTTCTAAATTTGTTTAGAGACTAAAATTATATGCTTTATCAGAAGGAATAATATTATCAAGTAAAAAAAAAAGACGGGGATCTGAGCAGCACATTAAGCCATTAAGCTTTACTAGAGTATTTATTTATTTATTTGTCACT